TCCCGCGAATACATTTCTAGCACTAAATTTTTCCAAACGTTTCTGCTACACGTTCATGCAAAATAAAAGTACTCGAATGACGGAAGACGAGAGACGTTGGGTGATATCCAAGTGGATCGACTTAAACGGATTAACCGAGAGAGGTCGGAAAGTATATGAGAGGAGTCGTGGGAGGGAGAGAGAGAGAGAGAGAGAGAGAGAGAGAGAGAGAGAGAGAGAGAGAGAGCCCGTGAGATTCGAAGGGAAAAGAGTAAAGAAAAAGTAGGCCGCGTAAAACTGGAACACCGATTGTTGCTATTCTTTCCTTTGCGCTTTATACTCTCTGTCACTCTCTCTCTCTCTCTCTCTCTCTCTCTCTCTCTCTCTCCCTATCTGTGTCTCCTGTATAAAATAAGAAAAAACAAATATATAAATCAGAAAATCAGCCAGTTATGGATTCTCGACTCTTCGCACCCTTAAGATCCAAAGTGTTAACCCAAGTTAAGTGTTATATTAGCCTTCGATGAGCCGAATGAAACTTAACTTTAAGAATTTTAACGTGCCATCGGAAAAATTATGGAAACGAACCAGCTGTTCTTTTCGGTTCGTTTCTGTTTTTCCTGGAATCGGCATGGTCGCAAAAGAAAGAGATAGATAGATAGATAGATAGATAGAGAGAGAGAGAGAGAGAGAGAGAGAGAGAGAGAGAGAGAGAGAGAGAAAGAGAAGAAGAGAGAGAGAGAGAGAGAGAAAAGATTCGATGGAAAAGGAACGCAGTCAAGGGTGCGTTCGTCCGTAAAAGATTGTCGTTTTCTACGATGATATTTGTCGCCACGAAAGACTTTGAAACTTTATTCTTCCTCTCTTTTCCAGGCCTCTCTATTCATGTAAGAGAAAAAGAAAGAAAGAGAGTGAGAAATAGAGCGAACCGATTCGACGGTAGGTGTCGAGTAAAAGGATAAAACCGTGGGATACTTGCTTTTTCTTTCTTCTTTCTTCTTTCTCTTCTTTTAGGGAAACGCAATGGAATTGAAAGAGCCGCATGCCTTTACAGCACTTTACTCGCACTTGCTTCAAGCTCAATATTTACCATAAATTTATCTTTTAGGCATCGTCGATCCAATTTTTCCAAAGTAGATCGAAACAAGAGAGAGAGAGAAATTTGTTTCGACGCGCAGAAGATAGGACTGCACCTCGTTAAATTTCATTCCGTCTATCCGTCTATCGCCCTGTTATATTTAGCCATAAAAGTGGCGTTATTATTCTCACTTTAGCGGAACGTACGACAGAGAGTGGCGGCGAGAGAGCGAGCGACGGACGGAAGGTGCCTTTAAGCTGTCCGATATCCGGTTCAACATAGATACTGGCACGTGGCACGTGTCACGAGTATGTACGAGCGAAAAGAAAGGCAAAGACGAAGCGAGGTAGAATCATTCTCTATGTTCGCGTCTTCATAAATTTAAAGACACGTCAAATATAAAATGTAACGATTTCGGAAATTTATTCCTTTCGATGGCACGTGCTCCCTCGGGTTTCCGCGATATTACATCTGCCAGTGATATTTATCGAGAGTCGGTTTTCTATTTACGTACAACGAAATAAACGAGCTCCTCCTCCTCTCTCTCTCTCTCTCTCTCTCTCTCTCTCTCGTTCTCATTTCTTTCATCAAATGGATACTGTGGTGGGTGCAAACTTTAGCGGTCATCTTCTTACGGCAAATCGTTGCTAAAGTTCTTTCCCTGTCCAAAGTATAAAATAAGTACTTTGTTCTTGCGATTCTCGCTGCAGTCATTCTGTAGCGCAAATATAAGCAGCTTTTTCATTTTCAAGCGTTATAAATATTTCATCGAATTTTTTGTTTCGTAAGAGAGGTGGATAAACTTATAAAATATTAGAAAAGCGGGCCAAGAGATAAACGTGCACGCGCGCGTGCGAGATAAAGCAGGCCGTTGTGAAAAATGTTAAAACGACCGAAAGATCTCTCGTACGAGTAGGATTCCCTTGGAAATATATATACACACATACACACACATACACACATACGCGCGCGCGCATATTTTTTCTGGTTCTCTTAGAGCGAGTTTGAATAATGCGACTGGCTAATAGCTGCAGCATCGAAGCTTATTTTTTGGCGTTTATTCGTGGATCAAAATCCCTTGGCACCTTGGCTTTCGACCTACCCCTTAAAGATATCGACCCCAAGTCGAACGTTATAGAATACGCGTAGAATCAGGAAGAAGAAGATGCGACCTTGTCGAAAAATTTAGACGATTTAGGAGAGAAAAAATGTTAAGGACCGAATTACCCGCCCGCCCATTTCAAGTCCCTTTCATATTTCTAGATAAGAAATGAGCTATTCTCTCATTTTTCTTCCTCGATCGTCGTTAAGGACGGAAAGATTAGCATCGGTCCGTAAGTATCGCACGTACGATCGAGTCGTAGATCTTGTACGCTGCTTACGGTTATCGCCTTACCCAGCCGAGCACAGGTAGGCGTGTACCGTCGCACCCTCTTCGCTCTTATGAATAATGCCTAGGATATATCTCCGTCGTGGAACGTAGGAAGCTCGCGTTAACTTTGATATTTTTCCCAAACACGAATTTATCACGAAGCATAAAAGGACAGCGAGCTATCCCTTTGAATAACGGAAAACTCGAGTTCGACTCGTGTCCGAGTTGACGCGCGAGCCGTCCAACTGGCGAATGGCCAGATCTTCTTTTTCTCTTACGTCCGTGCTTCATCCATCGTTTATCGAACGATTAACGAACTTTCGTTCGTACGGACGAGTGGGCAGGTGCGTGCCTCTTCTATCCCCGTTTCTTCGAAAGAACGAAAATATAGATTTTAAATCGAGTTACGATATGATATCGAGGAATGCCTGTATCTACAAATTTCTTTCTTCGAGAGAAAAAAGTGGCCGATTTTTTTCTTTATATCCAACGCCCCATGAATACTTTCTAATACGATGCTTTCCTTGCCTCCTCTCTGATCCCTATTACTCCCGTTTACTCCCGTTTACAGATTCCTCTTCTTCCTCTCTTCTTTTTCTTCTTCTTCTTTTTATCAAAAAGTTCCTCTATCGGGATTTAGTAATAGAGGTTGCCATCGATTCGATGTAAATTTTACAAGAATGAAGAGAAAATTAGTCTCCGTGATAACACGCAGAACGCAATACTCGTGATAATTACGGCGTATATTCAATTTCTCGGTACTTCATCATTCTTGTAGCCGAGTTCTTCGTTCGCGAGGATTATTGGACGCGTTGATCGTTGTTATACGAGATTGCTCTGGAATATTTTCTGATTAACTCTTGTCCGGTCTCGTTTCTCTATCCTGACACGTGATACAACGATACTGACAAGAACAAGAAGAAAAGCGATGCGAAAAAAGGGCTCGAGAGGCAAAAGAGTTAATCTTCGAAAGAAGAATAAGCAAAATGGAAAAAAGAAGGAAAGTCCGAAAGAATCGATTCGAGAAGCGAAATAAAAAGAGGGAGATGTGATACTTTGTAAGATTCATCCAGTAGTACCTTTTTTTTCTTTTCGAAAAACAATCTAGCAACCTGCCCCCCCCCCCTCTCTCTCTCTCTCTCTCTCTCTTGCAAGAAGTGCACGCGTGACAAAGATATATCTATTCGAAATCGGTCGACTTTAACGCGGAAATGCGAAATAAACGAGCCTGTAAAAATCTCAATTCGGAAAAGAAATATATAAACGGTGGATGAGTGAGAGAGAACAGCTTTCATATCGTGCCGTCGATTTTGCGTTAAATTGCATTCCTACAGGCGACGACTCGACTCTAACGTTGCCAGACGTGCATTCGACCGCGAGTCACACGAGTATTTACTTTTAATATGAGAAACAATGTCTCTCGAATTTTCGATAATGAAAACGTACTCCTACTCGATCAAATCAAGTACGATCCTTCTTGGAGTTTTCGATAAATGAGGAAAGAAGAAGAGGGGGAAGAATGCTTTGTTTCGCCGGACGCGTGTAAGAAGTTGGTCGGAGGCACGTTACGCGAGAAAAACCGTAGAGGTCGAGTATGAAGAGGAAGAAAGACACACGGGGGGGGGGAGAGAGAGAGAGAGAACAAGGGTCGTTCGTCGCGTTCAATACGCATGCGAGGTAAAGCGTGTGCGCGGGCGCGTACAACGCGGGAGGCCACTTTTCGATCGACGTAGCTCGCCACGTCGACGACGACGACGACGACGACGACGACGACGACGACGACGACGACGGCGACGACGACGACGACGGCGACGACGACGACGACGACGACGACAAACACGACGAGAAAGAGGACGACGTGGACGTCGAGGAATAAGAAGAAGAAAAAGAAGAAGAAGAAGAAGAAGAAGAGGAAGAAGAAGAAGAAGAAGAGAAGAAGAGAAGAAGAAGAAGACGAGAAGGAGAAGAAGGAGGTGGGAGAGAAGAAGAAGAAAGAGAAGGAGAAGGGGTAGAAGAAGAAAGAGGATCCACGAGGAGGACGCTGCTGATACTGCGGCCGGCGCCAGTGGCGTTAGTAGGGGTGCTGCTACCGGCGGTGGTGGTGGTGGTGGTGGTGGTAGTAGCGGTTAAACCGTTGGTGGGGGTGCCGGCGGCAGGTGAGCGCATCGCGGAGTGCGCCGTACACACGACTCCGTTCGTTTCAGACAATACGCTCTCGCGAAACGTGTACGTGCGCAGGAGGGTTTACGTATGTGTGCTTCGAGGGAGAGAGAGAGAGAGAAAGAGGGAGACAAGGAAATCTCGCCGACGGCGAGTGGCGCGCATTACGTCGTTGTCGTTCGAGTACCGCTACGTTTTCGCTCCATCGCTTGGCGGCTGTGTGCGAAAGAAAAGAGATAAATATAGCGGACTAGACTTGCGTGCGTAAAAAAGAAATTCGAGCGATCGGCTCTTTGGGTGAAAAGGAGGAGGGAGAGGATAGAGAGAGAGAGAGAGAGAGAGAGAGAGAGATAGGGGGGCGAACGAACGGGAGGGAGGGCGGGCGGGTGGGCGGGCGGGGAGGGAGAGGATAATAGTGCGTATCGTGCGTGTGCTTTTCGTTCCTCGAGAGAGCCGAGAGCAAAGGGAAAACGTGTCTAGGTCGGTGCAACGATGCAAGAATAAAGAAACTCGAAGACGTGTTCGCGAGTTATTTTCTCGTTTCCCCCTTGGAAAAGTGTCTCCCGTGAAAAGTTTTTCTATCGCGAAATGACCGAAAGGTGCGCGAGATCCACGCTGCTTCTCGGAGGTGATGGTGATTTCATTTGAAAGGAAAAACTAGAACGAGAAATGTGCGGTGAAACGTCGTTTTACGATTGCGATCGGTTGCTATGATCGAGCCGCGAAAGGTTAACGTCGAACGATCATGGTTTACCCGAGGCTGCACGTCGGGAGGAGTCTACGATCGAACGCAAACACGAGATATCTCCACGTCCTGATCGTGCCGCTCTTCCCGCTCTGGATTATCGGCGCGTTCTGCGTCAAAGATGGTAAGTGAATCCTCGTGTCGGTGTCGAAATAAGACTCTCTCCTTTACTCTTCTATCGTTCGTTCCCTTTTAAATCCTTGAACTTGCCTCCTTAAGAATTGAATTTGGATTTTTCGGAACGCGGAACGTTGTTCTAACGCGGCATCGAGCTCGCGTAAAAGAGTCCCCTATCGCTTCTCTATCGCTTTTCCCGCGAACGAAATGTCGCAAAATATACAGACTACAGACGGATACCGAATAGAGGCGAGTGCGCTCGGCAAGTTCTCGGATAGTAATATTTTTTAGCACCCACGGATCGAAGCCAATACTCCTGTCTTTTACGGACGCCTTCTACGGAGCTAACGCCGACGGTAGAAGTGCGTTTGCACGCACTTCGATGAAACGTACCTCTAATCGGCTCTTTTTCCGTCGTACCACCACCATCACCACCACCGGCTGGTTACGTTCTCTCGTCGATCGCTATTCTCTACGTAAGATCATCTCTCCTTATCCTTTCAAATGGATCGCCGAGGCACGCGTTACCGTTGCTTATTTATTAACGAAATGGCTCGTCGCAAAAGGGAGCGATTTCTCTTCCTCTCTTTTCCTTCTTTTACCCTTCTTTGCGCCAGACGATTTTAAATCATCGGCGAAACGAGGAAAAAGAGTCGGCCACGATGTAAGAAAGCCGTGGAAATAAATGCGCGATCGTTTATCCTTGTCGACTACGACGAGACCACCTTGATGTATAAAAGATAGTCGACGCTCGGTTTCGAAGTAAAAAGATCGTATGCAATGACGAGGACGCGTCGGTCGACGCGTAAAAGCGTCCTTTCTACGGGGAACTCGGCCGAGAGTCTGTAATTTGTTCACGAAATTGCATAGACCGGAATATGGTCAACGGTGCTCTCTAATCTCCCAGGAACTGCATTAGCTCGACCAGCAAATCGATGGCAAATAGATCCAGAGAGAGAGAGAGAGAGAGAGAGAGAGAGAGAGACGCGATCCAGAACGACACTCGAGAAGTTTATTAAGCGGGCGTTACAACGGGAATTAACATTTTTCCCAATATTTTGGGATTAACGCTTCGGATTACTAATAACGTTCTTTAACGAAAAAACGTTAGTTTTCTCTAGACGCGAGCCGAAAGACGTAAAAGAAAAATTTTCGCACTGTACTAAAATTACAATGATAATATTCGTTCCGGTTCGAGGCTTAATGGTTCTCACACAACGATGAAAACGTTAACGAATGGTTCCACCGTCGTTAGGATCGATCGAAAAATTCGTTCCAAGTGGATTACACCAAAAGATTACGGCGGAAGAGATATATACTATGGACCGTCTTTGATTTTGTTCTCGCATTGAAACGCGAGGTCAAAGAATAGAGTAAGAATGAGGGACGTCGAGAAGAAATAAAATGCAAAAAGAAAAAAAGAAAAAAAGAAAAAAAGAAAAAAAAATGTTCGAGAAACATTTATCGGCCGGGATATATGGGTTGTAAATGTTTCTCCAAAGTTACCCAAGTCCTCGTCTCGCTACATTTTAATAACCTTCGAAAAGTATCTTTACGAGTAAACTTTTTAAAAGGCTTAGAACTAGAGTTCGAGTTCCTAAATTCTTTTGGAAGTCGTCGAAGCTCTTGTCCCGAACTTGAAATCGAAGGAGAATGGAAAATGCTCGGCAAGAACGCAAAGCGGCGGCAAGTTCCTCCTTTCGAATGAAGTTGCACGAATGCTTCTTTAAAACGACGATATCGATCTTTTCTCGTCTACGACATTTCTTGGAGTCTTAAAAATAATTTTCTTGGTTTGTTCTCGCTTACAAATCTCGTTACAAATCCCGTTCCGGTGTATCAGGAAATAAGAGAGAGAGAGAGAGAGAGAGAGGGAGAGAGAGAGAAATCTATCGAGCCGATAACGAAATTGCCTTTGCAAAAAAGGAAGCGGCAGAGCGCTTTGATCGAATTAAGAAAGTTGGCAAAGTTATCGAGGTAAGAGCACTCGCGAACAATAGCGCAATTTTATTAAACAATCTAGCCGTAAGAAAAACTTGCTTCCAATCTCGAGGATGGCGGCCTGCTTAAGAAGCGATAATTCATTACAGGCAGTTGGCGGATAGAGGCGCGCGCACGCGGAGAAGATCGACGAGAAGATTAGACGGTCGGTTTATCAGGATGAAACTTGCCAGATCTCAGGAGATCGTTCCTTCGACAAACAGATTCCAATCTAGCGTACACCTATCTTCTCTCCGTCCATCCGTCCACTCGAGGTCCCTCCGCCTATCAAAGTCAAGTCTCGCGACTATATTCTATTAAATCGAATATGGTACGTCCGAGGAATGACCCTTGTAACGCTCCATCGGCCGTTGGCCCGCGACTCTTCCAATTTCCGATTCATGGAATTTTAAAAACCCGGCTCGTCGCCGTAGAAAGTAGACGCGTAAAGGTAAATATCGGGTTCGACGCGTTTTCCAAAGTCATCTCCGAGACAAAGTTCGATCGATCGAAGGCGGATACGCGCGAGCGTGCGCGTACCCACGCGATACGACTCTTCTCCAGTCGTACACGCGCACGTACAAACGTTCGGGCAAATTTCTAACGCTCGTATTATGCGTCCGAACGTCGCTCGACGCGTCCGCAACACGCAAGACAAGTTCGATTGATTTTTGAAAGTCGTTTAAGCGTCGCACCGTGAGTCTTCGCGCTTATTACCATGTTTCCTCGAAAAGAGAATTCGAGCACGTTCATCTTTTTTACCCCTCTCCATTTGCCCCTTCACGCGAGATGCTTATTCCTTGCAATTATACGGGGCTACGTTTTAATCGGCGATTTCGAAATTCATTCTCCTTTCTTTCTAATTCTACAATGATACTCGCGGCGTTGTACCGTGCGACCGTTTCATTAGTATGCTAATTTATGCGAGCGCGCAGTCCGTGCCCCCTTCCCGTTTACCGTACCTTCTATGCTCGTCTCCGACAACTGAATTTCTATTATATAGTAGTATCCACCTCGTGTCATTTAACCGCACGATATCTGTTCGTTCCCAATAGATTCTCATTGAGAAAATATTTTATTAGCTACCGTCATCGCTTTTATCGAAAGATCTCCTCTATCCTTATGCATCGAAATTGCGTTACGCGTGAATGTCCGTTAAGGAATGACTCGTTCACGCGAGGGCTGCATTCATTTTTTTATATGACCTAGAGATCCTGTCGAACGACTTTGCGAATAATAGTCCTTCTTCCATCCACGATCCGTTGTCTCGCGTGGCATCTTTGAAAAAAACCTTTTAGCTAAAAGTACTATTAACCGAGAGACACGAATAAAGACTTAAATTATTACCGCGACCACGACATCACCCTATTCTTAATTTAACGCGCCGAGTGCCGTCAAGCGTTGAATATTACAAGCCTGGCTGAGTTCCAAACCCTGTGGCTTTGCAGAATTAGTGCTACGTCTAACGGGATGGGCGGAGGGGGTAGATCGCGACGATGAGGTATCCATTTTCGATGAGACAGTTGCCACTGTCGTTGCGCGTATCTACCTAAACCCGACATCGCCATTATTAGAAGATGGAGGAAAGGTAGAAATGGAAAGGAAAGAAGTGCAAACGGTCGAGGGGAGAAAGGGGAAAAGTCATTGCGTTCTTACGGCTCTTTCATTCTTCCGTTCGTTCCTTCCTTCCTTCCTTCCTTCCTTCCTTCCTCCCTCCCGCCTCCCTCTCGCCCTTCCGTTCTTCCTTCCTTTGACACGAAAAAAAAAAAATCTCTTTACGCTTGCACGCACACCTCTCTCGTCGTTATTTCTTCGTTATTATTCGTCCGCTCCAGTTACTTAAAGGCTCGAGAGTAGTACAAGGAACGCAAACTATCTCGCGTAACAATACCACCCCCGACAACCTACCCCTCGCCTCGATTTACCCCCTCGTTCCGATTTACCAATCCTCGAGAATCCTCGCGTTTGGCCATCCTCGTTCTCCTCTCGCGCGACCCATTACTCGCCTTATTTTTTTCAAGTTTAACACCGCTTGTACGAGCATTATTCATCCCTCTTATTTATCGTTCTTTACTACATTCTATACGATTTTACCTTTCGATCTTACTTTTCGATCTTATTTCGATTTTACTTTGAATAAGAAAATAAACAGGAAAGGGATTCGCTTGTTCCTCGAGGATTCTTGGAAGGTAGGTACGAAGAATATCCTATATCGTTTTCGTAGTTACACGCAGACAGGCGATAGGCCGATGGTAGAAGTAGTGCCATTCACCGTGAAACGTCTCGAGATCTCGATCACGCAAATTGCTTCCTTCGGTTCCCCTTTCTTTCTCCATCCGCCGATAACGAGATTTCAAGATTTTCTCGGGTCAATGGCTAATAGCCGACGGAATAATTCACAATGGTCTTCTAACGAAGAACATTTCACGAATAGTGAGTCGCCGCGGGGGAGGGGGGGGGGAATTCTATCGATGATGAGACCCCTTCTAAACGTTATTATACCCGGCGTTAATCCGGAATCTCATACTCGTTACGAGAGTTTTTAAGAACGAGAGACAGAGAGCGAGAGAGAGAGAGAGGACGTATACAACGCCCTACTTATTTCCATCGTGCAACTCGCTTTAGCAAGCGCTTCTCCGTCATCATCGTATCACGACGTTCCTCTATCCAGCTAAGTTTACCTATATCTCGCGCGCAACCAAACGAGTTATTCCCTCCTTTAGCGTGCCTTGGTAAGAAGAAACGGTCGAGAATTGATGGAGGACAATACGCCGAGGGCATCGATAATCTCTGTATTACTCTCTCAGAGACCTACTTGCGCTACGTACGCAACGTAATGGCCCGGCCCATCAAGCGCTAATCTTGCCAATCTTCATATCCTATAAGTACTCTTGAACTCGGGCTAAGTACGAGAGGTGCTTACTCGGCTCCTGGCGATGCTATCCACGATCGCGTTACACGTCGCAGCGACAGCTAGTACCCGCTCGACGGTAATTTCTCGAGAGTCCTTTCGCGTATCTCACAAAG